GTGTTGACCCCAATCGCTGAAGCAATAAAAATAATACCGAGTCCATTCAAACCCCTGAACTCACCCCAAAAAAAAAAAAAAAAAAAAAAAAGGTTTGATATCATTTCAAACATCTCTCAGGGCAAATTGGCTCGCACAACTGACGCTCGTCCATTGCCATTTCAACGGACCCTCTCTTTTTTACAGCACAATTTGTCGCGTTTCTCGTTCAAAAAAAAAAAAAAAAAAAACCAAAGAATAAGAGAGATGTGCAAAAAAGGGGAAAAAAAAAAAAAAAGGAAAAAAGGGGAAAAATATTAATGGTAGGCAGCTACAAATCAATGCCAATTGATTCCAGTCCGCCCTCGTCGTCATCGTCTCCTTCCTCTCTGTCGCCGGAAGAAAAAGTACTTTCGGAAACCGAGAACCACGGCTGTGGGTCTTTTTCACCGTGCACCACTTCCTTCGCAACGATGGGTTCTTCACTTTTTCCGCCAAGCTTCTTAATCGCTTCTTCCCGCCGCCTGGATATGCTCTCCTGCCACTTCTCGTAACGCTGAATGCGGCCCAGCTCCGCAGCAATGCTCGCTTCTGTCCCAATGCACACAGCTGTGACCAACGTCTCAAATTTTGGCAGTGACGTCTTCACTGAACTCCTATTAACATCATTGCCGCCACAGAGACGTAGTTCCAACTCCGCCAGCTCACGCACCTCACGCACGACATTCATCATGGCTTCCTCCTCCTCGTCCATCAAACGCGTGCAAAAATCCCGAACAGCTGTTTTAGAAACGACTTTTAGTGCAGCAGAGTCCTGCACACTGTAGTGTTGAGCATAGGGGAAATCCGTGTTCCCAGACTGATACACGCGAATACGTCGATCGATATCCAAATGCAGGACGTAGTTCTCTTCAAGAGTAACACTGCATATTTTTTCCAAAACCTCCACCGCACGCAACTCGCTTGTCGCATACAAGTTACGCTGAAGCTTGTTCTCCTTATTTAAACGATGCGTGGCAAGGAAGCTAGCACCGCCTCTACCGTCATACTCGAGCGAAGCATTCATCCGCTGCCCCAGGTATCCAGCAAAGGCAAGGCACGCGGAGCAATCCAGGTAGGCGTAGGACGGTCCATGAATAAGAAATCGTGGATCCTTCAAAATGGCCGCGGAAACTGACATGAAGTCAGCTAGAGTAAAAAGAAAGATGACAAACGGCATAAACTTCCGATTAAGGAAGGAAAAGAGTAACAAGAAAAACCACATGGCTTCAAGCCTTTCCAAAATTCCTCCTTTTATTGTGTTTTCTTTTTTTGTTTTTGTTTTTGTTTTTTTTTTTTTTTTTTGTTTTGTTTTTGTGCTGCTCTCTGCGGACGCCCATCCAAAAAGGGGATAATAAAAGAAAAAAAATGGCAAAAAAGAAAAAGAAAAAGAAGTACGGTGTTTAAAGCAAATTTTACACAAATTCATGCCTCTCAAAGAAATAAAACATGGAGAGATACATGCAAACATGCATTTATATATATATATTTATATGCGTATACATATACATCACACCGCGGGTGCCACACGTTTCTCTCCACACATAAAACCAGCGGAAATAATGTTCCATTATTTCCTTCTTTTGCCCTCCTTTTCTTTTTTTTTTTTTTTTTTTTTTTTTTTTGAGGAGTGTCTTTTCATTCACAGCAGCCGCGCCCCCCCTCTAAGCGGCGCAGAGTCTTACATGAGGCAGTAAAGTACGCATGGCATCCCTTGAAATGAGTCTTTTTTTTTTTTTTTTCTTCTTCTTCAGCTGAAATCGTTGTCCGCCTCCGGAATTTCTCAAGCAGTGGTCGAGGCATGCTCCTGTTTTTCATCACCCTCTTCTTCACGCTCCTCACTATGAACAAAGATCCAGTAATTTTCATCCGTCAATGGGCCCTTAAGACTCCTTGTAAACTTATTGCAGCAGACCTCATACTCCGGTCCAAAGTCGTTGTAAAAGACTGCCTTTGTGCTTGCCAGTGGGACATTGGTGTGGTTGTGGCGGATCACCAAGACGGCGTCCCCCTTCACAGGCCTGTCACGCATGTCCTCACAATACTCGGGGTTCGAGAAATCCGCCACCCACATCGTCTCCGCGGAGTTGCCGTCCGGTGAAAAAAACACATCTTGATACTTTCCTGTCACCTTTGACGCGCTATGAGGCCCTTTGTGCTCTGAGGCAAGTGAAAGCGGGTTATCGCAGAGCTCTGGCACGGTCATGATAAAAAACGGCTGCCCGTAGTGCACCACGTCCTCCTCCTCGGGTGGTGGAGCAATCATATCTGTGGGGCCGGTAGGCGCCGGGGCCAATAAAAAACAATTGCGCAAAGTTGGACCGCTGGCTGGTGCTGTGGAACAGACAACACGCCACCCTGTGGGTTGTAGCGCACGATCCTCTAAGTCAAGCGAAATAAAGCCAAGTGTTTCAGCATTTTGTAGCATTACTGGAGTGTAAAAGTGCAGAAAGCCGTCGTCATGCATGGGGGACAAGTGATACGGCGTGTTGTGGTGCTTCACCTTGGCCAATATGAGCTGCGTCTCACGTGCGGCATCCACGACGCCACCATTACGACCCTCCATGAGGCGTCTGCGATCCCGCATGTACGCCTCCTCCTCAAACCAGTTTCCCAGCAGAACTCTTCTGGGCATTTTTTCTCGCTGCTTCTTTTCCCGCTCCTTTTTCCTCTCTCTCTCCCTCTCTCTCTTCTTCTTCTTCTCTTCCCCCCGTGGCCGACCGCTCCGCTCGTTTGACTGAACACGCACGTATTCCCCTCTTTTCTTGTTTGTTTCTTATGCCTTTCCCTGGCCTGCCCGCCCCTTTCCCGGTAGTTGTGCGCCTCCCTGTCGGCGTGTGCAGATAACACGATGAACGGGGGTGAATCCGTCCACAGCTCTGGTGCGTGTGTGCGCGCAGGCCGCCACCAAAAAAAGAAAGAAAAAAACAGAGAAATGGTGTTTTTATACACGACAGAAGCAAAAAAAAAAAAAAAAAATGAACATGAAAACAAACAAACAAAAAGAAACGGTGGTGAGTGTATGACGTGCATTGAAGGTTAATAATAATAAGCCGCACGCGTGTGTGCGCTCTTTTACGCCGCATCACATGCATTCAGCGCTGCAATACGATCAAAGTACTGTACCATAAAAGATGTAGTCACACGCATACGAAAAATATGGAAGAACACAAAATTCAGTGAAATACAAAAAAAAAAAAAAAAAAACAACTGCTGTCGCCCAAAGAAATCCACGTGCCCCCCGCCCCCCTCTCCACTTCTGGTCCGCCCATTCCCTGCCAAACCATCATTCTGTTTCCACCATCTTCTTCTGCTTCTTCATTCATTCAAAGGAATGTACGGAAGTAAACCGAACATGCACATATTTATATATACATGAAGAGATGAATGTTGTGTAACAAAATGTAAATAAAAAGAGAGAGGAGATAGAGGGCTTGATGTACAGCTGATGGGAAAATAACTAGTTTTTCTTTTTTTCTTCCTTGCTTTGGTCTCACCAAATTGTTTGCCCCTCCCTCCTTCTACAATTCGTTGTGCCTACAAAGGAAATTTTAAAAAGATGCACGGAATAAATTCAAAAATTCCGCCACGCATATCTTCTCATCACTCCCTCCCTCCCTTCCTTCATACCCCTTCTATACCACTCTTCGCTTATTGAAGATGCGCTTTAGGTACCACACATTGCCCGCACCCATGAACGCAATAATTAATATTTCTATCGCTGACCAGACAACAACACGCGTGTTTGCCACCTCCGTTGTCGCGCGGTGCACACGCTCACGACCCCTGAGATACCGCTGCACCTCCTGCACCTCACGCAGTCCTTGCTGAATACGCATGAGAGATCGTTCTAACGGATCCGGCCCTGTATTCGGCTTGCCATTATTCCTCTCCATCCCCGAGTCCCCAACTGTTATGGAGAACGCCACCACTTTCTGGGTGATGGTACTCATCTTGTTAGAAAAGCAAAAGCGGTGGCGACCGGGCGTGCGTGTCTTGAAGAGCACACGCCCCTCCGTCTCGCGGAGGGCATCCCAGATATGACTGTTGTCCGGCCCATAGATGACAGCGTCGATGTCAAGCACGCCGCCAAATGTCACCATGTAGTGAAGAAACACCTTCACTCCAACGCCATGGATGTCCTCCACAAAGCACTCCTCTTTGTTCGCAGGCACCATAATAGACACGGCACCATCATCTGCACGAGTCGGCGTCATCACACAGCTGAGCAGCAGAAGCAAAAAGCAAAGCCCGTGTCTGCGAAGCGTGGGAAGTGCGGGGTGCGGAATGCCTCTCATGTGTCCGACTGTTCCTTTGCGTTCCGAGAGAAATGGCCAAAACGGCTCCGTTCACTAATTGCAGCCTATTCGTTTGGTCTGTCTGTCTGCGTGTGTGTGTGTGTGTTGTTCTCTTTTTTGCTTCCTTTTCTTCTCTTTTTTTTTTTTTTTTTTCTTTTTTACCGCACTATTACTATTATTACTATTATTATTATTATTTATTGTGGACACGTGTGCTTGCGTGTGTTTTCAACGGTGCGTCAGAGGAAGAAAAAAAAAGGCAAAAAAGAAATTAGTTGCAACAAAAAAAAAAAATCCTTAAAGCATTCCACGTGCACATATGCGGGCAGACCACCAACCTGCCGTCCCCCTTTCCCCCCGCCTCTCACTCAAAAACGTGCGTTTGGAAAAAAGAAAAAAAAAAAGGGGGGGGGGCGGGGCTGTTCTCCGCGTTCCTCCGCTCTTCGCATGAATGTGCGCGGCTCTCGGTGTGGACTGCACCGCCACAATGAAACGCACAAAAGGACAAAAGCCCAAGGCCAATGCACATGCACAGAAAGTAAGAAATTCACGGACAGGGAGAAAGCAAATAGAAACAAAACAAAAAAAAAAAAAAGATCCCAACCGCTGCTGAAATACTCATATGTGGATATATATATATATATACTTATAAATACATATGTGTATATTCTTCCTGGAAACCCATTCCGTCGTGAAGATACGTGTCGCCATTACCACCATCATTTAATCTCCTTTCCCCTCTCATCTGGTTCCCCGCTTTTTCCCCTCTCCTCCCTTCGCGCCCCAAACACAGACACGCAGGGATCTGCAGATTACAATCCAAGTGCACATTTACATGCACACAACGCCTAGCCTTCTACTTTCTTAACGCCATACCACCTTCACTTCCATTACAGAGGGCTGCAGCAGAACGACAGCTGTTGTTGTCGTTGTTTCTTCTCGCGTCATTTCTCGTGGGTTCGTGGGGCGCGGGTGAGGCAGAAGCAAAAATATACTGCCGCACGCACGCACGCACACACACACACACACACACACACGCAAAAAAAAAAAAAAAGAAGCGTCACAAGTAACCGGAAGAACGTCAGCCTTCAATAAAGTGCAAACTATACCCCCGCCCCCAGACTACAGGAGAAAGAGAAAAAGAAAAGGGTACTTCGCGTGTCTCCCTCCATCCTCTCAGGAAGGCGGTGCCACGCCACGTCAAAAACAAAAACAACAAAAAGACTCGCGCCCATCCCCTTTTATTTTCCTTCACTTCTTCTGTTAATTCCCGCGGGAATCGTTGCGGCGGTGTGAATTGCAACGCCACCCACGGCCGTCCTCCTGCTGCCTCCTCCCCTCACGTCCTTCACTCCTCCCAACCCACCAACCGACGCCCCACAACTTTATTTATCCCCTTCTTTTCTTCTCTGCGCAGCCTCACACACACACACACACACACACTTTCAGTCGCATTTGCAAAAAAACCATCGTTGTTTCCATTCTTTTTTGTTTGTTTGTTTGTTTTTATTCTGCTCGTCCCCTTATATGTAATCTTTACTCCAACACCACCGCCCACTGCCCCCTTCTTGGACACACACACAGAGAAAGACGCAGTCACAAAGGGAAAAAGTGAGAATGAAGGGAACAGTGTCTCTGTGTGAGTCCAAACAAAAAGCCCCGCTTTATTCACACGTGTCTTTCCCTTTAAGTACATACATAAATACAGATGCATAACTTTATATATTTATACCACTTGGCACATGTGCATTCTGTGTGTGCAGACATCGTCCGGCGCAAGAAAAAAAAAGGAGGAAAGAAAACCAAAAGAAAACAAAACCAACAAAAAAAAACACACGCATGCCAAATGTAAACAAGCACAAATACACACATACACACGCAAAAGAAGACGATAGCAGTCAGCACCTTCTCTACATTTTCTGTATATACAAATAAATATATATATATTTATATTCATGCGCTATAATGTCGCCTTCATTGGATCCAAACACGCACAAAAGGAATGAAGTTGCTACATGAACAAATATGAAAAAGCATTTCGCCATTTTGCAAGCATAGACACAAAATGTTCGTCTCTACTAAACTGCACCTTTTTCCTTTTCTTTTTCCTTTTCTTTTTTAAAACAAAAATGTCTCGTTTAACTCTTTTTTTTTTTTTTTTTTTTTTCCTCTGCTTTGCGTTTTTCCTTCTCTTTTCCTTTCATCTGCTTTGATACTACTTGAATGTGTTCAGCCCTATTTTTTTTCTCCCCTTTAATTTTTCTTCTTGTTTTTTTTTTTTTTTTCGTTTCTCCTCCGCTCTTTCATTTGGCCGCACGCTCAACAGCCATCTTCTTACATGGGCGCATATGTACGACTGCGTATTGTTTGTCTGCCTTCCCTCTACCTCCCAGCACCCAGCTGCACCCTTCTTGCAGTCCCTCCTCCCCCACGCGTGAGCAGTGCGGAGCCGGACACAAACACTTCACGTGTGCACATGTCTCTTACGTGAGGAGGAAAAACGGCGCATTTTGAAAAATTAGTCCGTCACGGAATGAATAAAACTATCAGCAAGGGCATTGGTTGGAGCTGCCTCCTCGCGCCGCAGGACTGACGGCTGCAGCCGCAGGCAAAGGCTTACCCGACACCACGGATAGGTCCACAACACCGCTCTGCACATTCTCGTAAATCATCATGGCGGTCTTCATAAAGGCGTCATCCACATTTTGCGCCGTCTTGGCGCTTGTCTCCATAAACACCAAGTTGTTCTTCTTGGCGAAGCTCTCTCCCTCCTCCCGCGACACCTGCCGCTTGGCCTCTAAGTCACATTTGTTCCCAATTAACATGATAACAATGGCGGTATTGGCGTTCGCTTTCGCGTCCTCCAGCCACGTCTGAAGGTGTGTGAATGTCTCGCGACGTGTGACGTCGTACACAAGAAGCGCACCACAGGCACCACGGTAGTAGCTCCGAGTGATGCTGCGGAAACTCTCCTGCCCCGCCGTATCCCAAATCTGCAGCTTCACGTTTTTCTGCTGAATCGTCACCACACGAGCCCCAAACTCTACACCAATTGTCAGATCATGCAGCGGCTCAAAGCGCTTGTCTGTAAACTGCAGCAGAAGGCAGCTCTTCCCCACACCACTATCACCAATGATGATGTACTTGAATACATAGTGATGCTGAGACATGATGAAGGAGCGATATGGACCTTTTTCTCCCCTTTTACCACCCTCACTTCTTTCCTCCCTACAAGTTTTTCCCTCCTTTTTTTCTTTCCTTTTTTTTTTCGCTTTTCAGTTCTCTTATTTCCGCTTTTTGTTTGGTTTTTCTATTGATTTATTTGTCTGAGCTTTAGGTTGATATCCTCCCTTCAAAAAGGCACAAATAAATAAATAAATAAATAAATAAATAAATAAATACAAGAGGACCTGAAAAGAATAAAAGGGCCACACACAAATATATATATATATATGCACTTTACTTGTCATGTATAAACGTCGCACGTTTGTACATACAGGAAGGACCTACTCGATTTACATGAAAAAACGCCTCACATCGTCGTTACGGTGGATTCTTCGAGAAACTTTAAAAGGTTCCTGACGCTCTCTGACATGGCACCCGCAGCGTCGACGACCACGCTTTGGGCCGCCAAAGCACCAGCGTCCTCGATGGAGTTCGTCACCTTCGGCGCACCTCCGTTTTCCATCCTCAGCTCCATTGAATCATCGCCTTCTTCAGGCTTTGCGGTCGACGAGGACGCAGTAGCCTCAGTCTGGCCGGTCACGCTTGACGCCAGTCTTAAAAGACTTCGCAGCAAAGACATGAGACGAGCCTCTGCCGTTGCTTTGTCCACACCTTCAGCGGTGTGTCCTCCCTTGTATAGACTACCATGCACCGACAGACGGTTCAAGTCACTTGCAATAAGCAGCGATGACCCAAGGTGGTGTATCGATTCCTTCCGCGAAGGCGTGGGAAGACCCATGACCTCGATTAAGGTCGGTGTCCGTTCCCGCTGAGCCTGATGTCGCTGTCGCCAAATCCGCCCCGCGCATTGCTGTGCCTTCATAACATAAGGATTGCTCCAAAATCGAGCAACCTTGACTTCCATGTTGTCCAAATGACTTTCCAATTCCTCTTCAGTCGAGGAAACGGAACTTAAGGATTCAATATTCTGCAGCACTAAGGGAGTATAAACACGGACACTCGATTTTCGCTGCGCGGGAAAATTACCAACGGTACTCACACGTGGGGCAAAACTCGGAGACCCGTTTGTAAGAGATCGAATAAGCGAAGGAGATTCACGTTCACGCGTAACGGAAATGCGCCTCGATGCGGTCGGCGATGGCACGAGAAGCGGCGGCGTTGGAATATTAAGCAGCACCCCTGACCACATGCGACACTGTGCATCAAGGTTGTTTAACCGGAGTCGCATTGCCCTAAGATGCTCCTCCGAAACTTTTAGCTTTTGCTCCTGTGCCGTCAACATCTCTTTACGAACCAGGAATTGCTCTCGCATGCTACTCAGCTCTTGGAAAGTGGCATCCTGCAAGGCCTTCGCACACACCTCATGTTGCTTCAGGTGCTGCAACACTGATGTGTAGCAGCGCCATGCATGTTTTGAGTAAAGTAGAAATACATTCATCTCCTTGAATACAGACGGTGAGTTATTCCTGCTCAACAAGGCAAGATGTACTAAAATTTTGTCCGTCGCGGTAATAATTTTGGAAACACTCGTGGCAAGAGCCTCCAACGCAAAAGCAAGCGAAGTGGAGGTAAACAATTCCGGCGGAGCAGGCAACTCCATTGAGGTCTCAACCAACTGAAATGTCGGTTTGACCTGTGACTCCGCGGCACTCTGCTGTTCTATTCTCATCTCCTGTATTTTTTGTACCTTCCGGTTGATCTCATCCTGAAGGACAACTTCGGGCGAATGTGGCATTGTGACCCCGTCCAACACCATCGTCCGACCCGCGTCCAGTTTTGCGTCGGCGCCTCCTTTTGGTGGTTTCCGCAATGCGTCGTTGGCGGACGGTGCTATTTCCTCCGTCGTCCTCGTATACGACGGGTTTTCTTCGGTGTCAACGATAGCCCGCACTTGTGCCATCATTTCGTCTGTGAGTCGCGACGCCGCCTCCATCCTGCGCAGCCTGTACATAAAGGCCTCATTGAGGGCCGTCTCGTCCAGCGCACTCTGCGCATCCTCGCCCCACAGCGTGAGGTGGTGGTTGGCATGGCGGTCATGTGAAGAGAATAAATGCGCCATCCCCTCCCTCCACGCAGTCGGAAACCGACTTCCCCTGCTTCTCGCCCAACGTGGCAAGTGATTGAGTGACAACAGGGACGGGATAAAAAGAAAAAAAAAAAAAGAAGGAGGAAAACGAAACATCACAAGAAGAAACAACAACAAGGAAAAAAAAAAGACGACGGGGGAAAAGTAAAACAGTACGAAGGAAAGAAAGCACGGAAAGAGAAAAAAAAAAAAAAGGAAAAAAAAAGGGGAGGGCAAGCGATGATATCCGCAACGGCCAACGGTCCAGCACGCCATGAACACACACACACACACCATTGCTCATGATTTCTCACCTTTTTTTAAACGCTCCGCCTCCTGCATCTTCGCCTCTCTGATGTCGTCTACAATAACGCGAAGGTGACGTGACGAGTTACGATTCCACAACGTTAGTCCAATGATAATCGCCGCGCCACCCGCATATATTTTCCCAGGGGACATGCGCATACTCATCTTTTTGGTTCTACACCCCCCTCCTTTACTTCTGCAGACCCACCCCTCACCTGCTGATCAGTCAAATGTATGTTAATTAGCTTCCTAGCCAGCTCTCAGTCAAACAAAAAAAGAAACGCAAGACACATATTTACACACATATAAAAACACTTCATATGTTCTTTGAAGACAAGCAGAAGTCGCCACAGAAAAACAAGTATTGGGAAGAAGGAAATAAAATAATTCAGAGGCAAGTCAACGCAATAAAACCAATAAATAAATAATATACTTGGCCAAAGACACCCCAAAGCGATAAGGTCGATACTCCTGTACCATAACTGGTAGCATACAAAGCATTCATCAATCAGCCACTAGGAAAACGCCAAAATAACTCATAAAGTGCCATTTCTGCTGCTGTGTTTCGACAGCACCGCCTGCAGTGTGGCTGTTATGCTGGCGTTTACGTGCTCCTCCCGCGCCAGATCCATTGTCACTGCCCTCTCCGTCATCAGCAGAAGACGTTTGCGGTGAACCCGCTCCGCCCAAGCAGAGACATGATGCAATTCATCTGCAATAGACGCATGAAAGGCACGCTCGTTTTCGCAAGCTGTCGACAACTCCTGTACTTCGCGGTGCAGGCGATTTCTTTTTGCCTCCGCAAAACTACAGCGAGCAAGCAGTGAGAGAGCGCCGCCAACACAGTCGCCATCGTCCCCCCTCGACGTCGTTTTCAGCCCTGGAGTTTGTCGTTGTTGTTCCCGTCGACGTTGCCGCCATTCACTGAGACGCAGCTGACACTCCTCAACGGCGGCAAGAAGTGCGGCGTTTTCGCCTTTGGCGGCGCACAACTCTTCATCCTCGTCAGAGCCGGAAAGGCGGCATTCGCCCATCGCGGCGGCATCCGGGGATGCACGCGCCTGCTGCTGCTGCAACGTTGCGTGCGGTTGCCGAGGCTCCTCCACCTCCCGAAAAATGACCGGCGATGGGGGCGACACACCGCACGCCGCTGCCCCCCCGTTCGTCAGGCGCACATTTCCCGCGGAATATGAACCCGCTGAATGCGGCGGGTCAACACCGTAATCCGAGGCACGCGACTCCAACGCCCCCAGACGGGCGCGAAGACTGATAACCCACGCCTCCGCCTCTTGCAGCAACGACCGCTCCCGCACAAGCAACGCCTCCTGCGGCACCCCATCCGCCCCCACAACAGTTGAAAAATTCATCGCCACAGGCAACCCACAAACTACAGAAGTAATCAAAAAAGAAAAAAAAATGCACAAAGACGCTCAGAGGCAACCCACCCCCGGCCACTGCCAGCGCATAACTAAGCAGCGGGGGTGACAGATATATATATATATACCGAACAAACACCCTGCAGACCATCTCAGCGCCATCATCCTTTCGCTTCCTCACGCCAACAAAAGAAAATAAAAAACGCCCATATGCCCATGTCACTACTTCGCTCACAAATTCATTCAGCACACACATTTCCCGAAATAAAGAAACAAAAGCAACAAAACAGAATAAAGTGATAAAAAACAACACAAAAGAATACGACGCACCACACACACACACACGAAAAAAAAAAAAGAATTAATTAACGCTGAAAAGCCTTAAAGAAAGCTTGATCAAGATTCTTCATCCTCAGAAAAGGAGGAAGAGACACAACTTCCTCAAAAGTGAGGTGCATTGGGAGCTGCGTTCAAAGCATCCGCAACCCCAGCTCGGCCCACAGCCCGCAAAATGGCCAGCAGGACGGCAAGAACAGCGATCCGCGCAACCTCTTTGGGCAGCTTCACGAAGCGACGACGTTCATTTGCTAAGAAAGATGGGGTTTTAGCAATTGGACAAAACTCACCGTGGCAATGCGATCCGGTTGTTTCCTCCCCAGCACTGTCATTTCAAAAAGTCAGTTTCCACAGCGGTATCGTAAGTTTGCCTTCGAGCAATTTAGGATTTCTTGTGACGCATGAAGAAAGTCAAGTAGTGAGCAAAAATAACTGCGGCCATTAGAACGCGCCGCGGCCCACAAGGCCTGGGAAGACAAGAATTAATGCGGAGGAAAAAATCCAATGCCCCTCTGAGGCCCTGCCGTTGCTGTTGTTGAAGGTGGCCATCGCCCCTGCCAGCAGTGGGACGAGAATGTTCAAGTTCGCTGAAAACAAGAGAAAGTACGCTGCAAACCATATGATGTTAAAATGCGGCCACCACAAACTGCAGAGCGAAGAGCAGCTCATCATCTGAGCCCACATTTTACACTGTTGTAATTACTTGCTAAAAGTAAAAATAAATACATAAATAAACAGATAAACATAAGAGCGCTGCGGGAAAAAAAGACCCAGATCGAAGTGTCACAGGAGTTCCACTGGCTTCCACCCCCGTAGGCCCACTTTCTTTTCATGCGATGCCCGTGAATCCAAAGACGTCAATTAGCTCCGCTCGCGTTCTCATGCAACCGCCTGCGCAGCTCCGTAGAGCTGACACGGCCATCTCCCTCTGCACTTACGTAAGGTATTTGGATGCACTCTAGTGGTTTTAGCCCGTAGGATGCCCGCTCATCATTGATAGACGCGAGAACACCCGCAGTCTCAGGAGACACCACCAATGCCTCAATTTCCGCATCGCGATTTGTACCACCACTCGGCTCCGTGATTCCCACAACCGTCACATCAATATCCCTTCGCACAGAGTACAGAAACTCAGATACCAATTTACAGCGAGTCTCAAATGGCTCAATATATGATCCATATGTCTTTTTCTTCAGCATCGACTCCAAAGTGACGCCAATGCGCAGAGACTTTGAAGCATAAAATAACGCTGTTGTAAGCAGCAGCTTGTGACCAGCGTGGAGGCGATCGAAGGTTCCTCCAAGAGCCACGTGAGAAAACAACGGAGTAAACCCACGGTCCGCCGTCATTGACGCCGCATTAAACAGGGTTATTGAGTCGTTACTGGCACCCCCATCATTTGAGGGAGAAGATTCATCATCAGATAAGGGCAAAAGAGGAATTACATTCACAAACGTCTCCGGGTGATGTTGTAGGGCGGTTACATACAGTTCCTTCGTGTGACTCAGCAGTGTGTTGCGGTGGCCATCGTGTATTTGAAGTTGCACATGAAGTGGGTTCTTGGGGTCCCCCACAGGCTCCGTGCCACGGAGCGACAAAAGATGCGCACGCAACGCCGCATTATTGCTCTCCATTCCAACTTTTGTGGAGAGACGCAAGAGTCTCATTTCAATTATTATTTTGTTGTTGTCCGCACACGTACCTTTCGTTCCCTTATTTATATATATATACTGTGGTGGTGGTGGTGGTTGACGTGTGTTTCTCGTTTTTGTTGTTGTTTTTTCCTACCGCCTTCCCGCTGCGCCACATCCTCTCCACAGCAAGAGCGGGAATAAGAGTAATAGAAGTGTAATGAAATACACCCCGCAAGGAAAGAAAACAAAAACAAAAAAAAGGAAAAAAAAGGGGGAAAAAAAAGTCAACCTCCGTCGGGAAAAAAAAAAAAAACGTAAATTAATGATTTTGACTGCCAATTCCCAAAAAGATTTACACGGTTGTTATTATTATTATGATGAATGTTGCCGCTATACGACCGTTCCGCCTCTCTTCCCTCCTCCTCCCGCAGCAATACTACTGCAACATTGGGGAGGGTGCACATGTCACGTCGAGAGACTTCACGGTTCGCGGAGGAACTCCGAAGAACTACCACATGGAGCGGCAGAAGAGTCCGGCGGGGAGTTACTCTCGTCACACAACCAACTCGCACTGCAGCGGAAAACTCGAAAATGGTGGTTGAGTAAAGGGATGGTATGAATCGAAAAGACAGAACCCAACCCACCGTGTGTGGGGTTTGCAAAGCAGTAAAACACACGCCTCACGCGGCTGTGTACAAGCGCCATAGAACACATGACACACGGCTCGTGACTAACAAACAGATCAATCTCGTTGGCCAAATAAGGCACATTGTCCTTCGTCCATCGCTGTGCTTGCTGCACACGAGCAAGTTTTTTTAGAACTTCAGTTACAGGATGGTCCAGTACAATTTGGTTCTCAGAACTCTCCACAGCAGGCACGTACCCAAAACACGCTGCCGCGTTTGATCTTTGCATTAAATCCGCCCCATCGCTCTTGGTGAGCACACGCCAATCCTGTGAAGAGTCCACCAACAAAGCCGCTATTCCAAGTGTCCCCTTATTGTGGCCCTCCTTTGCGAGCGGCATAACAGCCTCATTAAAAACACTTTTTATTTTCTTCATTTCGTCCAGCGACAGCGGGGAGGCTGGGCGTGGCTTGGGAACAGCAAAGGGCCACAATGCGCACCACTTCTTCCACTCCACAACGGATGTGCGTGGAGCCCTGTCTGGCACCAACACCGTGATGATGGTTAGAGGGGCCGCATTTCCCGACAATTCTTCAAACTCCTTTAGTCGATCCACATCGATGGAGCAGCCAACACCAAGCAGCAATTCCAGTGAAACTTCAGCTGTCGTTGCCAATGTACCGGCTTCTTTAGCCCCGTTATCGCATCTTGAGACACAATCACTCGGGGTGCATGAATATTCATTAGAAGACAACAACGCCTCGGCCCTTGGAGCCTTGCGAATGCGCTTCAGATGACGGGCGTTTGGCTGCAAGGGAAAGAAATTGTTGGCAATCCGCAAAAACGCTCCACTTAAAGTCGGCCGTGGGATGCGGATGGCCACACCGCGCACAAGCTTGGGGGGCGCCTCTGGGGCCGCCACTTCCTCCATCCCTACCGTAGCATTTCCAAAAAGCAAAAAAAAAAAAAAAAAACAGTGACAAAAGTAAAAAAGGATGCCGCAAAACATACCACATGCTTCATGCTAACATCTTTTTACAAGGCGTCCTTTCATCAACGCCCCATTTCTTTTTCTCTCTTACCCATTTCAACACATGTACGCTGAGTACAAAAAAAAAAAAAAAAAGAGCATCTTTCAAATTTCTTTCATTTTTTCGCCTTTTAAACGCGGTCCATCAGAAAAGTGGGAAAAAAAGAAAATACAACGTTTTCTTCTTATGGCACTCAAAAAAAAAAGGAAAAAAAAAAAAAACAGCGCCGTGTGTTCCGTCTTCAGGAGCCGTGAGGGTCGCCCCGCGGCCCGCGACGCACACGAATCACCTTCAAATACTCCCCGGTGTATCGTTCTGACACAACCATGACATCCACAGGAACCCTGACATCGTCTTGTCCCGTCTCCTTGAAGACATTACGAATCTTCTCCATCAACTCGGGAACGTCATTCTGAGCAATCGCAACAATGTAGCATACGCCGCGGGCAGAGAGGAAGCGGGGAAGGCAAAGAATAAATCGATCCACCAATACCCGTCCGCGTGGGCCCCCACACCACGCTGCCGTAATGAAGTCCCCCTGTTTCCTTGCACCCTCCAACTCGTCCATGGTGGTTGGAACGTACGGTGGGTTGAAGAGAATCAAATCAAATTCCCCAGCCCCCGCTTCCTGCGGGCCCTCAGGACCTTCATGCTGGAAAGGACCAAACAAGTCCCCATGGTGGAGGTGCAGATGAGGAGCCTCATCACCCCACAAACGACGTAGTGTGTTGCTCCACGTAACACCAGTCGCTTCCAATGCCACGGGATTTATGTCAACTGCGTGAAACTCGGATTGCCACGTCCTACCGCTCACATGCCGCACCTCTTTCGTGTTATTTGTGTTCCCAGAAATGCCAGACAAGACAAGTTGCAGGTGAGTGATAACGGTCCCCGACCCACAGCCAATCTCCAAACAGCGACGCGGTTGCATGGAGCGAAGCACATCCGCGTCCCCGTCAAGCGTCTCCAGTAACAGAAACGTGTCTGCCTCCGGCTCGTAGACGCTCCTGCGAAACCGTGGATCGGTGATACAGTGAAAGTAGTCTGGAGTAATCACCATTGTAAACTACGTTACACACACGCAAGAAACGCACAAGTAAAGCAAAAATCATTTCAAATCCCATAACAAATTTAAAAAAAGGCGCTTCAAGAAGAAAAAAATTCACACGCTGCACGCATAAAGAACATGGAGCCTCAAAAAGAAAAAGAATGAATATATTTGTGTTTATGTATGCATGTATGCATGTGTGTGTGTGTGGCTCGATTCATCGTCTGTCCATAATATTCTTTTTGTTCTTATTTCTTTATATTAAACTCTCGCTGATGCACAGAAGTAAAACAATGACGTGTGCAACTCGTGTAGCATGCCAGCCAGAAAAAGAAAACCGCACATTCTCCCCCCTCTCCTCTAGGCAGCATCCAACCCTCAAGAGAATTTACAAATGCACTACAGCAGATCAGGGCCATCTCGCACAAGAGGTGGTAAACGCAGCCGCGGTAGCGCTTCTAAAAACTCCGCCTCCCGCTCCGTGTTTTTTTGCATAACGGCGGTATCGGAAAAAGCGCACGCAATATCATTCCGACTAATCCCTCTCAGCCCACTGGGGATAGAGTTGTCCACATCCTCCACCCTGTCAACACCTCGCGGGTTGCCTTTTTTTTGCTCTACCCGCACCGTGTCAAAACGCAAAAACGGAATAAGCGCCTCCATAAAGTCGTTCTCCCGACATGCCATTCCGCGGAGATCGTTTCCAACCACCAGCACAGACCCCAGCTGCCCCACGTGGCCAGCACCAGCGAATTCCCGGCATGGCAAAAGATTGGAAACAAAAAGATTACGAAGCAGTGCCCACGGACAGTGCGGCAGGTACGCAATGAGCAGGGCGTTTAAGTCGTTGGGTGTATATGCGCCGTAGCGATTTTCCTTTTCCATTATCACCCCTAACTTTTCGCAGCAGCAGGCATAAAGCTCCCCAGCCACGGGATCAAAAAAGCTCGTGAAAAGACCAGGCGATCCCCCACACGACAGGCACGTCGCCCCGGCGCCCGGAAAAGTGTCAACTTGAGCCCTCACAGCAGCAGGTGCGAGGGACTTTGACTGTTTTTTTATGACATTCTCGCACTCCTTCTTCAATGCTAACAGAAAAGCCATTTGCAGAAAGCCTGAACGTGACTCCTGCCGCGAAAACGGTCCGATGCCAAGTGCTATGAGATGGACGCGTGTTAAAACGTCCACACGCGTCTCTAAGAACCGCCGCACCGGCGACAAAATGTCACGACAAACAAAAGTCAGTCCTCGCAACGCCTCAGACGTTCGACGGAGGTCGCGCACCAGCGCCGAAATCATACGAGAAGAAACAGTTGGGGCCAGCGTGAAGATGGCATCCGTCTGTTTTCTTTTTGCGGCAGATTTTTCTCTGCGTCGTCTAGAGGGCTTCTGCTTTGCCCCCACAACACTCCACATGGTCGGCGCCGTGCAATGTATATAAAATATATATATATATATATCCCAGGCACGCAGGGGCAAAAAAAAAAGAGTGGCACTCCAAAAGTTAAAAAAAAAGAAAGAAAACAAAACAAATCCCAAAAAAAAAATAAAAAATAAAAAATAAAAAAGTAAAAAAGAACATCCACACATAAAACAGATACAACATATATGTATGTATGTATATGCTTCCAGTAAAAGAAAAAAACAATAAAATCTTACGTACACACACGCACAAATAGCCTTGTTTCGCATTGAATAGTCATCATGGAGACAGCGCCAATGAAGCACAAAATCTACGCCAAAGAAAAAACAAGGAGCAAATGCGGCAGCAGTTGCATAAAGAAGACAAGGAAAAAAAAAACGGCAGAAGTTGGCACAGTTGGGAATCAATGCCTTTGGTAGCATTCACGTCGCATACACAGAGACACGCTTCCAGCAAAGTCACCATACATTCCAAAAAGAGCGTTAAGATGACAAACCCGCAATAAAAAGGTTTAGCAGCTCAACTCTCGGAAGGAAACACACGCATTTTAAGGTGTTCCGTCGCCACAGAAAGTTGAGCGAAGGTTGGTACAAACGCACGCAAATGGGTCCCACGCTCCAACTCAAATGACAACAGACTTGATAGGTGCTCTGCATCTGCGGCAGTGGCGCTCGCCGGCACAATGGATTCGTAGCACTCTGCCCCACGATATCGGCGACCACTAATGTCCCGCACTGCTGTCTCCAGCGCCGCCACGGCCTCCATGTGCTCGCGGAAAACGCTGCCAGAAAAAAGAGTTTTTGCGCCTTGTTCTTCTTTGCGGCGGAACTCCGCCTCAGTGTGCTTCAACTGCGCACACATCGACTCGCAGCCGGTCATCAGGGAGGCAGCAACCACTGACACGAAGTCATCCCGCACTGTTGCTGGCGTGTGCGACGATACAACGGGTGGAACCGCTACTAGAGAACGTAACTTCTTGTTCTCCTTGTAGCTGCGATCGAGTTCTTCGGTGAGTCGAAGAATATGTCTCCGCATCGTCTCGCAGTTGCTACACAACGCCCCCTGCTCGCCACGCGCAACCGTTACTCCCTTTGCATCGTCCTCTACATGATCATCCGCGACGGGTCGTCTCCTTCGAAGCTTTTCTATCTCGGCCTCCAGCGCTGTATTACGCTGTCGCAACTCCTCAATCGCACCAAAAAGTGTTGAGCCACTTTCTCCTTTTTTTGCCACCCCACTGCTTCTGGATTGCCTGCTTGCGTCTGAAACCGGCGATGCCGGCACACTGTGAACACGCTTCGGGGAAGTGAGCCCGCCGACCCTTCGGGCAATCCTTTTCGCCCCTTTACCCGTCCCAATACGAATCAGGGCGTGTTCTCTAAGCCGCTGCGTTTCCTTCTTGGCCATACATTTCATTTCTTTTTGTAACTTTTGCAGCTCGGCCCGCAACCGCCGGTTAATTCCCTGCATTTCGCTGGTCTGGCTCTCCCACTCCTTTGAAGTTTGCTGCAACTTGTCCCGCTCCTGCTCGAGTCCTTTTACCTTGCGGAGAAGCCTTGGAACTAATTTCGCGTAATCTGCGTTCTCTTTCATCGTCTTTTCGCTAGATGCTGTCAAAGAAAGGATTGCGTCCTGTTTCTTTCGTAAAGCCTCTTGAGAGGTCTGTTGCAACCCTTGCAAATGTTTAATTTCTGCCTTGGCCGCCGATAACGCCTCTGAGAGTTCACGATTTGTGCGGTCCAGAGTTGTCGTCCTATTCACAAGCGCCTGTTCTCGTGACGCCCGCGGCACTGAACCCTCGCTGAGAGCACCATCCAGAGGGGTTGTTGGGGCGCGCGGCAAGTTTGACCTGACAGTATCCCGAAACGGCTGCTCCGGACGAGCGGTGCCCCAGTCCCATGTGGGCATGTTGGTGGCGGATTCTCGAGTCGGCAGCAGGTGCGCACACTGTGAGGGGTCCACAAACAACTCCCCCGCCCAAGGGTAGGCACGATGCGGTTTCCGGGGAGAAGCAGGGTCTGCAGCCTCGGGCGTCGCCTCCGATTCCTGAAGATCAGAGCGGCACAACATTGAAACGCTGGTGGTATCACCCCGTTGCGGTTTTCGCTGCTGTGGCGCGTCGCGTGTCAGAAGAGGGGCTTCCGCCGGTTTTTCTGAAGACGCACGAAACATCGCGGACATAAATCGAAGAAGACGCATCGTGCTGCGAGGCGCCTGTGAAGGATCCGGAATTCCTACAAGATGCACCAACGCTGCTGGCGGTGTCATGTCTCGTAGAATGCTAGAAAGCAAACCCCTTGGTGGATACGTCTTGGCACCACACGCCCCACCGCTGCGAAGAAACAACGTCAGTTGATCCAAAGTTTTTCGCCCGCAGCCCACCTCCGCAAGCACAACAGTG